GAACAATATACTTGTTAAATTACATTTTTCTTGAGATTCTTTTGGACAACCAAAATGTTTTGTGGACAACCAGGTTTTGTCGACAAACCTGAAAAATTTCCAAATGTCTACCCCTGCCCATCTTTGAGAAATGGAAGAAAAATGGGACATATGTATGTAAATCTACTGAAGAGCAAGGGGAACATTGAGCAAGACCCCTGTGACCACTCTGAAAGAGTTACAAACTTCAGCAGGTGAGATGGGACAGACTGAGCTACAACACCTGTTGCCCACGTTATTTACTAGTCTGAGCTTTATGGCAGAGTGGCAAAAAAAGAAAGAATAAGCCACTGTGGGAGGAAACTTATATGAAATCTCGACTACGACAAGCTGCTGAGAAGCAACTGATCACAGAGTCTTCCATGTGCCGTTTGACAAACTTGTCAAGAATGGGGATGTTTATGGCTTTGGAAATCCTTTTGTATCCATCCCCTGACTTGTACTTTTACATTTTTCTTCTGAGTTGAATAAGCACAGTACCTTTATAAGCAGGTGAACAGTTATGCAATCGCTTATTCCTTTTTTTATTATTATTTGTTTGTGTTACTCCATAGAAACTTGATTTTTACTTTGTTATTGAAGGTTTTATGAAATTGTTCTGTCAAAAAGACAGCCGTGACTGAGTTACGACGGCAGTAAATAGGGTTGGGCAATATTGGCAAAAAAATTAATTACGATTTAATTGTGGTATTTAACCGATGATGATTAATTTGATGATTAATTCCCTGGAGTCCCTGGACACCCTCATGTTCTGGTCACATGACCAATTTAGTGGGAAAGATTTGCTCTTCGGAAAAATTTGTTCCATTAAAATTACAGACTTCAGGCTATACATCAAATTTTAAATAGTGTTGATAAATAAATTACAGAACTTTTATTTTTAATGTTCGTCATATTTGAAGCACAGAGGAGCACCGAGCAGACTGCCTGGTGGCATCAGTCGTATTAATCGTCAAATGCCAAAAAATAATCGATTAATGTTTTTCTGACGATTAATTGCACACGATACGATTATGCCCAACCCTATCCATCCACTGACTTACACTTTTACATTTTTCTTCTGAGTTGAATAAGCACAGTCCCTTTTAAGCAGGTGAACAGTTATGCAATCACTTATGACATTCTTTTTATTATTATTATTTGTTTGTGTTAMTCCATAGAAACTTGATTTTTACTTTGTTATTGAAGGTTTTATGAAATTGTTCTGTCAAAAAGACATAATTTATATCAGCTGTGACTGAATTACGACGGCAGTAAAGACAGAAAACTCCTAAAGRTATAAATACTTTTTATGCTTGACGTAACTTCCAAAGTAGACCTCAGAAACGATTGTTGGTGCATATTTAACAGTCACAGGAACTGCCTCTGRGTATGTTATGCTGTAAGGTATTTTAACCTTGATTGACACAATGTTCCAAACAGAGCAATCTGAGAACAACACCCAGACAAAACATGCTATTTTCTTGGCAGACGTGTAGCGTTACATCAGATGTTTGAGTGACTAATGGGCGCTTGTATGAACTTATGTAATTGGTAACTCATTTGTTGGGGATTGAAAGGTGCTGCTGCTCCAACTCGCTGCGTCTTTCCACTGCTCTTAAAGAGAAATCTGTRGCTACACCTCTCAGAGCAAATAATAATTTTCCCTCGCAGCACATGCCATGAACCGAAAGCCACAAAAACAAATAACTGTCTGCACCTCCAAAGTTCAAGGCGCAGCTCTCTTGTCAGGGACGACAACAGCAGCAGGATGTTGGCTCACACAGCTGCGCTGAACACACACTCCCCTTGTGGTCAGCTTGACACTGGCGCTCGACCTAAAGAGCCGCACGTATCAGCAGATAAACAGAGCAGGGAGCTCATTGGATTTGCATTTGCATATCGGCACAGGCCGTTCCAGTTTGCATCTTGTTTGCCTTGTTTTCCACACATGGTTGGGAAAAAATAATAAATAAATCTGCAGTGAGCTCACCAGCTCCTCTGGTTGTTAAAATAGACACACACTGGCAGGGCATGGGGAAGTGTTTTTTTATTTTTTTAATCACCGCTGCTGAAGTTCCTGCTGCTTCTCATCYCAACATTTGTTACAAAAACACGCCGAGATAAATGGCGATATGATTTATTTCCTTTTTGTTTGTTTGTTTGTTTGGTTCAGGCATCATGAAACGAGAGGTGAGAGCCGGAGTCGACTTTCTGAAGCGTCTCGCTGTGGCACAAGGAAAGCTCGACAAAGCCAAAGCGGAGCTGTTTGGCGAGAAGCTGCAGAAGCTTTTATGCGACAAATACGATAAACACTGGTATCCTGAGTGTCCGAGCAAGGGCCAGGCGTACAGGTAACCGCCACCAATATGAAATCTGAACCCTGACATCACTGAGAGCAGTTCATTTTCCAYAAAGATCAAAGCGAGTCGCCGCCTCCCTAATGGGTTTGAACTYTTTACAGATGCATTAGGATAAATAACGAAGCGCCCTGTGATGAAGTGGTTCGTAAGGCGTGTGAGGAGAGTGAGCTCACGCCCAGCAGTCTGGGCCTTCCTCCTGAGATAACGCTGTGGATCGACCCGATGGAGGTGTGCGCCAGGTGAGTCACCACGTGGCCCGTCGACGCAAAAAGCGACACGGAGGAACTTGTTACAGCTCGACATCGAGTCAAGTTTGCAACACGCGACTTTTAAATTCAAATCAATTTTCAATTCAATTCAAAAATGCATTCATTTCATTAAAAAAATACTATATACAATAATAA